TGTCGTCGCCTAATGGTTTGGATGGCTATCAAGTTCGGGGAGCGACCGATTTAGCGGTCAACAAAAGGCACCATAAACAGCCATACCTTCGTGGACATTGTAAAGGATGCCCTCGGATACAACAACATTAAAAGACGTCGGATGGACACGGTTATGTTACAAGACAACGCCCCTGTTCACCGATCAAAGCAGGTATGATAATCATTACCCACAAGAATAAAATTGACTATTTTCAGAGGACAGCTTCTTTTGTGCCTGCGGTCTGCGGAGCATTTTTATTCCTCCCAACTCTCTGGACCTTAATCCGATTGAAAATCTATTTGCTTTATTCAAGAGGAACTGGGAAAAGCCAGCTAAACATCTTTCAATGGAACAGAAGTTGGAACTTGTACTTAATAATTGAATAAATCAAACAACCGTTGACAACTTGGTTCTCTGCTCCCCGTCCCGACTTACGGCTGTTTTGAACGCTAAAGAACAATCCACGAGATATTAGTACGTTACCAATTTACAAATTTTCCTTATTTTGTACTTTTATCTCTTTTTCTTACACTGGTGTCACTTGCACAAGGACCTAAATAATTGACCTCTCGTTCATTCCTTTTTTTCCGATTTCACAGTTTTCGATAAAACTTGTTAGTTCTTCCTTAACAAATGATACTTTATAAATTCAAATATGCTTCCCTTTTGAGATGTATTGTTCCCCTGACGTAATATCAATTGTGCGGCCATGGGGTAAACGCCCTGCGAGCTACAAGGGTTTTCGTACGACTTTGACGGTGTTGCTTGCAGCACTCGCAGGACTGCAGAAGCGACTGCGGTGAGGACCACTTGAAAACCCCTTTCCCGACTGACACATGCTAAGGCCACTTGCATACCCCCCAGCTGCTGACATTTGATATTGCCCCCTTCCCCTCTGGTTCAATGACAGCTGTCACTGTAACGAGAGAGATAGTTGCCTTCATTTTCTTTTAATCGACACATACTCTTTAACCTGACTTAATGCTTGTTTTTTTTCTGTTTTCCGGTTTCAATTCAATTCGAGTGAGCGTGCGCGAAAGGGAGGAAGGCTCCGAGAGTGGACAGAGGAACTTCAACAGTCAACGTCAGGATCTGAGTGGAAGAGAGGAGAATATCAATTAAAGTTTTGTGAAAGACAGCTTTGTCAAGATTTTCCCCAAATTTTGTCCTTTGTACTTTAATAAACCCAATAATCAGTTTTCCCATTCGACTGTTTACCTTCTTGGTGTGATTGCGAAAAAACAAAATGACTTCTGGAGGCGAAGAATCTGCAGTTACTCCTAAAGTGGAAAAGAAGGATGAAGAGACCAGTGTTCCCGTTGAAGAAGCAGAGACCAACGAGCAAGGTCCGAGTACGAGAGGCAGCGGTACTATTACAGTCACCACCACTGTCCTCAGGCGTTTGCAAATTACTCCTCCTTTCTGGCACAGAATTGCCTGTATTCACCTGCCCCACCCTATTTGTTCCCCGCACCGTGTCCTTATTGTCTCCCTCGTTCTTTAATTTCCTGCCCCTTATAAACTAGCAGCAATGCGTCTGTGTCATTCAAACGATTGCTCGTCCGAGCACCTCGAATATCACCGAGCCTTTGTTTGCAAGGTGTGTGGCAAAGCGTTTGCAAGGCAGGACCGATTGAATCTGCACATTGACGTTGTCCACAGTGAACGCCGAGCCTTTGCGTGTAACGTGTGCGGCAAAGCCTAAGCTACGAAGCAGGGCTTGAATCGACATAGTATCGGCGTCCACAGCGAGCATCCAGGCTTTGGTTGCGAGGTGTGTGGCAATGAGTTTGCAAGAAAGACACAGATAAAGAATAACCGAGTTACCTGATTGTGCTTTGACATAGCTGCTGACCTCGGGTGCGTCTATTCAGGTGACGAAACGCAGCACATCATAGTTTTCGGAGACTCCGTTGAGCAAGATAACGCTCAGTGCGCCTGGTGTTGGAAGCTCTACGCGATGCCGGTCTTGCCCTTAACCTTAAGAATTGTCCGAAGAGGAATTGGCCAATTCCTATTCGGATTTCTGTGATGGGAATTTTGCGACCTAAGAATTGTTTTCCTCCGTTCCGAAGTACAATTTCTAGGCCATCATATCTCCCCTGGGCACATTGCGCCGTTACCCGATCGCGTGCAACTTATCCGTGCCTAGCTGAAACATTCCAATCATACAGAGGTACGGAGTTTTCTCGGGCTTGCGTCGTACTATCGGCGTTTTATTCGTCATTCTGCTCACATTGCAGCCCTTTTACACAAACTAACAGAGAACAACCGCCCATTTGCCTGGTCTGTAGAATGCGACGTCGCTTTTAACTACCTTCGCAAAGCGCTTTGTTTCGCTCCTCTCTTGGCCCTCCCCCGTGTCGACGCGAATGTCCCACCTTTTGTCCTCGACACCGACGCCAGTGGGTTTGCTATCGGCGCCGTACTTTCTCAGACTGATGCTGGCGGTGTTGAACATCCCATTTGCTTCGTCACCAAAACCCTAACCAAATCTGAACGGTCGTCACCCTTATTCGCCAATTTAAATATAGCTTGACAGGCAAGAAGTTTATTCTTCGCACTGAACATCGGGCTTTAAAGTGGCCCCTTTCAACCTGGACAGGACATTGACGTTTGGCTAGCCAAACTCTCATTTTTCTTGGCTGACATTCCACCATCGGAGCACACGCATTACTTGCTCGCTCTCCTCTCCTCTGCCCTCAAAAACGGTCTTACCGTGAAAACCCCTTTTAAGGAAGCTCGCGATCGTTTATCGTCGTTATTTGTCAAACCCCTTTCGGCTGCTGCTGCTGGCGCTCAGTTTTACAATCTCAGACAGAAACGTCAACAGTCCGCTGATGATTTCGCCCGTGAACTCGAGCGCTTGGCTTCCCTTGCCTATGCCTCTACACCGCCTGAGGAACGCAACGAAATCGTCCTCGACCGCTTCATAGTCGGACTAAACGACCCCACCCTGAAACATCACCTAGCTATCAGCCGTCCCCATGACCTTCGTACTGCACTAGTACAATGCGATCTTTTTACACAAGTTGTCGGTCAAGAACCTATCCCACCTGCTATTCCTTCAAACCCACGTCCATCCGTTCCATCCACGAAACCGTCTTCCTCCCAACCGATTACATTCATCCAAAGCAACCGCCGACGACCCCTTCCCGCCCGCTTCCCCAACCACAACCCTGGCTGCGAGTACTGCGATGCCTTTGGTCCTCGAGCACGTCACTGCGGCCACAACCCACCCTGTAAGTCCCCTCTTTTTAACTCTCTTTTTGCCAATGACGTCCCACACCCACCTGCCTTCACTATCGCCATATTTATGTCCAATTTCCGTATACAAGCTTTAGTCGACACTGGGACCAATGAATCACTAGCATCCTTGTCTAAGCTCCT